AAGAAAGGAAGCGTAAGAAGCTGATCAAAACTTCCAAGCGGGTAGATCAGGATAAAGGCGAGGAAGTGGAGGTAAAGGAGGAGGGAGGAGGAGGAACAAGAAAAGATCGTAGAAATTACCAAATCACCGTTGGACTCTTCAGAAGAAATTCTTTCAAGCGGAAAGGATGACAAGGAAAAATCTGCCAAGAAAAAAGATAAAACGAAGAAAAAGAAAGTCGAGAAAATCAGTAAATCAACAGTGGAATCTATAGAAGAAACCCCACCAAGAGGAGAAAATGGTAAGAAAAAAGAAAAAATAAAGAAAAAGAAAGTAACGAAGACAGTGAAGTCTGAACCTCCTGAAGAAGATGTCAGCCAAACCATAAGCGAGGCTCTCAAACAGAATCTACGAAAGAACATTGCTTCGATTTCGAAGAGCTCAAAATATAAGGAAGAAAGCAGGGAGGAATCAGAAGAATCCGGCGAGGCTGAAAATGCAAAAAAGCAGCCGAATGGAGATGAAGAAGAGGAAGCAGAAGAGGGGGAGGAACCAGCTGGAGCTGGAAGTCAAGGCGATGAGGAATCAGAAGGATCCACCACATTAGAACCAGAGCATTCAGCGGAAGTCGTCATAAGTATCAAAGGTAGGAAAAAGGGTAGAACAATGAAACCCATGAAGAAAAAAGAGCAATGGGAAAAAGGTCGAGGAGGTGAGTGTTAGCTTGGAGGAGGAGATAGAAGCGACAACGGAAGAGCCGGAAAAGAAGACGGAAAAGGTAGGAAAATTTTAGACCTGTATGATATGGGACTTTCACCAAGATCTTCCAGAAAATTCTGGAGAAGAAGCATCGAAAGAAAGGAAAGCCAAAGGAATTAGAGGACACAGACGACAGCAGCACTCCAGAATCGTCCACACTACGCATTAAAATTGGAGGAGATGATACAAATGTAAGAGTGTCCTTGATTTTGTCCCTCATCTGAACCTTAAGCTGAAGGAGCGCTAAAACCTGCACTGCTAATTGACTATGTTTCAGATTCACACCGATAAAATAAAAGCGAGTTTGAAGGATGCTCCAAATGCGAAATACTACTATCCGCCGAAAGTTACGGTGCCCCTACCGTCGTGTTTCTACAATCCCTCAGGTACTAGTCGACAAACACTTCAACACACTATGAGGCAGCGCCCAGACTTCGCGGAGACGCGCGTCGACGCGCTGCAAATTGCAACACCGCCTAGAGGCTATAGACACGAACGCAGCCGTGAGAGAAAATGGCGAACGTTGCTCAGTCACGCAGTTTGGTATGAACCGGGACTGGCCACAAGTTCGCGCCGACTGCTGGTCCATTTGCGGCTGCGTTCGCGTCTAGGATTGGAGCACTGTTGTAACTGGAGCGCGTCGACGCGCGTCATAGCGAAGTCTGAACGCTGTCATGCACAAGTCCAGCCTACGTACCGAACTCTCCAGTCGTTCGCTCTGAATTCGACTTGAAGTTCCCTAAGGCTTGTTTCAGGTTACGTCTGCTGCAACTTGCACCTGAACAATCTCATTGAAGACACATTTGAAATGATCAAGAATGTGAAAAGCTACAGCGCTTGCAATATCGCACGAATGGCTACCATCATTCAGGTACTTTAGAATTTCTATGAATCAATATTCCAGACACCGTAGTTACAACCCCAAAAAAGTTACTTGTATTGCTCAGAAACTGAAAAGGCTGTCATCATGGAATTGGACACTTATATGTAGTATCCATTAGACCTCATATTGTAGATCGTTACTCTTCCAGGCCGCGCCCCTTGAGCGATGCCTATGACAAATTCTTTGCCTTCACAGCGGTCTTCGAAAATGAACACAGTGCTCAAAAACGAACCCCGCAATTGCAGGTTGTGGATAGTGGCTTTAGTCACTAGATGATTCTTCAGGGAAAAAAATCTAGAGAACACCTTAAGGCCCCCTAAAAGGCTCACAGTTATGAGGGTGGGGGGACTTTAAGGTGTTCTAGACCTTATCGCTTTGCGGCAACAAAGCAATATCCTGCCGCCTCTGGCTCATTATTTGTTTCTTCGTGTCATCCAATGCTAATACCATCTAACAGGAAAAAAACGAAAACATTGTGCAACACTGAACTCGTGGCAGAAAATTGCGTTCGAGTCCTGTGGGCGGGACAGTTGAGGAGGCATCAAAACTGCCACTTTCAAGGGCCACAGCGCCTTAGCTACTCACTGCAAAGCCGCGAAAGTGGGACAATTTTAGAGACTGAGGGCCAGAATAAATGTACAAGGAAGGATGCCTGAAAATCACTTGAGGCCTGGACTGTCTCCAGCTCCGAATGAAGCTTAGGTAACCTCAGATGAAGGATGGAGCATGAAGTTCTCGCTGTTGATCAATTCCTTTTGAGCTGAGGCACGCAGTGTACTCCCGTTCAGAATCGTGGTAGTTTATTGAATGAGGCTTGGCTTACTCAATATTTGTGGGCACCCACTGAAATACAAGTCACTATCTTGTCACATCCGAAGGTGGTACCAATTTTTTTTCTAGGACGACTAAAGGGATGAACTGAAACTTTATTGGTCTGGGGGGGGGAGCCGATCCGGGATTTGACCCCAGGGCCGCGAGCGTTGTAAGTTGCTCCACTCGCCATCACACAAATTCAGCTGGACTTCCGAGAGACTGACAAAAGACTTCACTAAGCGGTGAGAAAATGTGCTGAAGAAGCTTAGAAACCTCGCTCATCGTCGAGTGTCTATTGACGGGAAAATTACCATGCTAGCTTGAGTTCTTTTTCGTTCGTGTGGCGCATGGGCGCAAGCGCTGTGGAGTAGGCTCTATGGGAAAAAGCGATACAGTTTTACGACGTTGACCGAAAGTCTATTTCGGATTCTCCACGCATCCTACTTCCATAAAGATTCGTGGGGCATTTTAAATGTAGTATATCCTATTCGGTACAAGAGGTGGTGTAGTGACAAGTGGCAGCGCCTTCAGCACCACCGCGCGGTCATGCGGTTCAAATCCTGCGGTCGACTTCCCTCGTTAGGCCAACCAAGCCTTCTATCTTTCGGTAGCGGCTGAACTCGGGTAGCCAGATCTTGTCTGCGTGAGGAATGACAAACACTGCGCCCTCGCTACCTCGGGCTGACGACCGCCCAAGTCATTGTCATTAGGCCCCCCATACGTTCAATAAATGCCAACTACCATTCTGAATGGAAGTAGAATGCGTGCCGCCATCTCCACAAGAGAGCCGGATGCGATCAACGGCAGAGCCGACTCTATCCGTTTTATATATGCAATAACGGCGTGTAGTCATCGGGACGCATGATCCTGCGTATGCTATGGGAGTTTTACTTCCCCCCCGCCCGACATGAGATTTTCTTACAAATATCGTCTCCCGTCCCCAGAAGGGTACGAAGGTTTAGGTTTGGGCATGGCGCGCCACAAGCCGAATCCTCGTTTTCAGATGCCGTGAGCCAGCATGTGCGCTAATTGGGCACTTGCCGCCTCAAGCCACACCAATTTTCTATGCGTCGCCCTAAAAAATTACTCGATTCTGAAGCCGTCAACATCAAAAGGTGCCACGATTTTAGAAGGCATCTCTATGATAGACTGCAAATAATCGTCCATTGATCTGAATATCCGCTTAGAAGATCTTCTGCCGGTTTTCAAAGACTTGAACGTCCAGCTGGCAACACAGAAAGCTGGAAGCAACACACTGCCGTCCTCCTACTATGCGTTGATGGATCACACCAACTGTGACTTATTTTGCCTGCCGTTTCAGCAAAAGAGCGAAGAAATGTTCGGCCATCCTTTCGAGAGTGTCGTCGCCTTGTCCGACTTCGCACAGAATGTACACTTCGCTGGCGATTTGGTGTGTAAAGTAGAGATTGACGGCAAGTGAGTTTTATAAGGTTAACGTTCTTTAGATGTTCATGGTAGAGCCAACTAGTTTGTGCATCCTGATGGCACAAGCCGCACTCCCTCAGAATCCAAGCAGTAGAGAAGCCGAAATGGATCGGGTAACGCTGTTAGTCGACGGAGGGTAGACTAGAACACTATAGAAATATGCGACGGCATTGGTAGGGGCTGCGCTAGTGTTCTGGCCAGAACGGCCCTAGGTTAGACCATGAAGCCGTCCTGAACGACCACATTCCCATTTTACCCACTCACTCCTTCCAGTGTAGCCCAACTCTAAGACGCCTATTGTTAGGCGCAGTCCCACAGATTACTGTACTAATAGGCCAGATGCGCATCCAGAGGTCTTTGCCAGAACCTTTGAAGGAATGGTCCGCGATCACCCATGAAAATGTAAAAGCTTGTGTAATAAAGGGTAGTGTGGACTGCAATGGACAACCTCGTGCCACTATCTTGGCTGTAAGTCGTAAGGTAAAGGAGATATGGCGCAAAGTTGCTCCAACCCCCCCCTCCCCTCCCCCTTTTCCAGTGACTCCGCCTCCAGACTCCGCCCTCAGAGTCTGCCTTCTGACCAAGACCGATAGTGCCGCATGAGAAGCAATGAAATGGATGCCCTATTGTCACTTCATAAGGTTTATTACAAGGAATCAGACTGGAGTCACGGTCTTTTGGCGATTTACCCGTACAGATAATTGAGGCTAGAGAGGTCTTTTCGAAGGCGTTTCCGAAAACGCCTTTGGCATTTTCTCTTCGCAGACGATCCACTTGGCACCTTCTTCTCCATATTACAATACCTTTACCTACACTCTTTATCGCGAATCATGCCTTTAATGCCGAACCCTTGAGGGCAACCCGTACTCAGGTCTGAGGAGTCCTGCTGATTACTGCGTGGGACCCACCTTGGCGAATGGCACTGCTGTCCTCAGATCGTGGTATAGAAAACATTTAGGTATTATGCTAATGTTTCCGGATCTCGGTTGGGAAGGTTCGCGGCGCGATGACTCAAAAACTAGTGTTTCACAGCTAGCTGCCTTGCCACACTGTGGCGTTGAAGAAAAACTGTGCACTCACTTCCAAATACGGTCCCTGCCATGCGCGAGTTGAATGAGTACGCAGCTGCAGTAGTGTGCCACTTTCTCCGCTCGAAGATGCACAAGAAGAGAGATGGAGAATTCCGGGTGCTGTTCCCTGACTCTGCCCACACTAGTCTCAGAGCGCAGCACTTGACACCGCAGCAGAACCGCAATGGAGACGAAGTCCGAGCTTAGAGAATAACCAGGAGACAGGTATAGACGAAGGGAGATTAGGCGGGCGAACTGGCCATGCGGGCAGCACGAGCTGAATTGGAAAGACGCGGTACGCCGGGGTATCACTAATCCCTAAAGTCCGTTTTATGTGGCTAGTTTCAAATGCAATTAGAACAGGCGCGCATACTTAGGGTCCCATTTCTCCCTGACATAGCAATGAGCACAGCGATCTAGGGACACTTAGTTTCACATTTAGCCCAATCCTTCTTTTTTTCCATCCTTGTACAGCTGACAAATCAACACTGGACTGGTTCAGGTTAACCCTCACTGTGTTCAGGTATATGCTGACGTACGCGACACCGTATGACGCAGAGCATGCAGTGGAGCAAGTAGACATCAATCGAGGACAACCCACTTCAGACGGATTTAATGACCAAGTTGGACATCGGAAAGACGGCCACAGTACAACAGGAAACGATTAAAAGAAAGGGATCAAAAAAAGTCGAAAAAGATTCAGAAGAAACCAAACTATAAACCCCCCGAAATTCCATAAACTTTCATGAATGTAATAATAGTAATGAGTGCTGCAGCGTAAATGCTTGGCTTAGAGGGTGGGGCATTTTGCAATTTCTTTAGTTCGTTTTGTTAGTTCATCGGGTTGTTAAGCTCTGTAAACTCTTGTGCAGCTACGAAAGTGTATACGTGGGCCTTATTGGTTACGGGAATTGTCACGTTTTTGAGGGTGCCTGTAGTACGCTTCGCTGGGTGCGTTTGGTGCGTTCCCACCAAGTCAAACTGTGCCACTAAATATGTTATTTATTGAGATTCTACATATGGATATAAACTATTAATAAAAGCTTATAAAGAACCATGGAACATTCAGAAGAGACAGCGGCCCCCAGACTGCCAAAAACTTGGCAGGTCTAATTTAAAAGAAAGAGAAAATAACCTATTTTTTGTGTAAGGAAGGCGCAACTATTGGCCTATTGGCAACTTACGCGACTATATGGTTGGGATCACGCCAACCACTGTGCTCATTCTCCTCAGTAGCCCTCCCATCTTTGCGAGACGGAGGACGCGTGGAGAGCAGTAAAGGTTGAGAGCACGATAATAAGGAGGGATAATGGCAGGGCCGACTCTGCACATACCATCGACGAGCTCTTTGTTCAGAAGCACTGTACATAATCGTTGATGAACTCCATGAAGGGGCCGTAAAGGGCGTGGGGAGGGGGTCATATTTGGTCCCGCCGGAGGTAATTCTTTGTCTATTTATTCCGCTCCACAGCTTCAGCGCTTAGCTGAAGGCGAAGCAAGCTACAATTCTGATGGTTGGTTGGAGGTGGGCACCTCCTCGATCTCCCGTCTTTTGCTTATCCCATTTAGATTGATCACCACCGAGTGCCATTTTTCTCTACTCTTACAGGCTAATGGTGCAAAGTTGCACAAATCCCAAATATGATCTTTTTATAAGGATTACTGTAC